CAAGGCTAAAATATATAGTTCAACAAATGGTTTACATTTTTTTTAAAGTTAAAGTGCTTAGGTTGGTGTTATGTAAAACATAACAGCCAGTTTGTGAAAAGTTCATAACCGGTTTGAATTGTACAGACATGTCGTGACGTGCGCGTAAATCATTTCTAATTTGCCTTTTGGGTTTCGGTTTTGGTTTACTTCAGAGAATTGACTTTGTGCAAAATTAAGTGGCAATCACCACTTCTTGTATTATATTCCGTGAAGTAATTCGTTATTTTTGGAAGAAAGACGTGTTGATGGCTTCCACTTGGCTACTAGCCGGTTCAGCGTTTTAATGGTACAAACAACTTTTAACGTCAGACATGAATATCTGTTTGTCTTTTTTTTTCTTTTGCAGTCACTTCCTTGGCATTTTAAGTGCACCGTGTATGTGGTAACATTATCCATTGTCTTACGATAGCATCGCTACAAACCAGACTAAATTTACTTTGTTTTAATGTTGTACCGACTGTCAGAATTAAGTTGTTTTAACCGTTAAAGTCCCAAAAATCTTAATCACAAATTTTATTTTAATCTTTTTATTTAATGTAGGTCTCGTTCTTGGAATAAAAAAGGGAAGACGCACGTGGTGTTCAGTAAATACATTTTTATGTATATCAGCGTCGTTATCTTCATAAATCAATAGTAAAGAGCCTTATTTTAGTTTGATAAATGTCGTGTTTTAATAAACAAACTGATCATAAAAAAAAACAAGAAGTCAAGTTAGACAGTATATTGTCTCATAAAACAAATGTTTATTGTTCTTGAACTTCGGTATGACAAAATAGAAAGCTAGCTAAATCTAACACATCCCTCCCAGGAGAAACTAAACAATACTAGCAGGAATCAGGAGAAACTAGGTAGCAATTCACGGAGCAGAACAGATAATCACATGCCACAAATGCCTACTTGGTAGCAATACATTCTGCAGAGTAGCAGTTGAAGCACCAAAAATGGCTACAAGTGTTACAAAAATAGCTTTCTCCTGAGTTTTTTGATGCTCCAATTGCTGTAATGGGGCAGTAAATCTTGAAAAATCAAAATATCACCATTTTGAAAACACGTTTGTTGTAATTGGCCTACAATTTTCTTTTACATTATTTACAAAGACAAGCAATAATGTTCACATGGGTACACAATGGTAAAAGCAGGGACCGTCTCCAAAAGTTTCAAACAACACCTCCCCTCAGCAGTGGAATGATTTTGTTTATATATATAATTTCTCGACAGGGGTCACCTCAAACAAGAATAGTAAAAAAAAAAAGTTTACAGTGAGTTGAAATGCTTGTGTTTCGTATTCAAAAAGTAGTCCTAATAATAACTGATAGAAGTAGAATGGATAAAATTATTTGAAGTTGACTTAATTACCCTCTTACATATTTAATATTTTTAAAGAATTAACAAAAAATGTCCGATTGAGGTGGCCCCCTCTACTATCACCAAATATACGGCTCGATCCAAAAATAATAAATTAATTTATATAAGAATGAGGAAAGAACATATCACAGTTATAATATCACCAACTTTGTCTTCCCCATTTCATAAATCAGAAGAAATAATAAGAATATAGGATATATAAGAACAATGAGTTAAATTATTCAAGTTACCGAAATCAGACAGTGTACTGTTTTTTTTTCTTCTTCTTCTCACATCTTCTTTCATTAGAGGTATTTCATTGGAATAATGATGTATTACGTAAGAGGGACGAAGACAAAATAGTTCAGCCTGAATGTATGAAAGTTTTAAACTGTCTTATCATCACTATACACATTAAACATTACTCGAGTAAATCCAGTCCGCTCAATCACAACCCAGCATAATATAGTACCCCTAGACAGGGTTTAGTATGGTCGACCAGGGGCGGATTGGACCACCGGTGAGCCGGTGCATTTCACTCGGTTTTAGAAATTGATTTTAAATGTTTAGCCAGTATGCAGTACGTGATACTTACTGCTCGGGCTGGTCCTTTAATTCCAATTCGCCCCCGAGAGCGACACAGAAATTCTGAGGTAAGGTTTACAATCAACATATACTGTTTCTAAAATAATAATAATAATAACAGCTAGATTAGCTTAACGCAACAAAAACAATAAGCAATAGATTTCTGTGGAAGCGAAACGATGGATTACTTACACCCTCAATGTTCGACCCCCCCACAGAAACTAATTTCATGGAAAAATAAAATTCTTGAACCTTAGGCTGTCACAGACGTACAGATATGAAAAGCGATTTCAAAATGTAACCTTAAAATAAAATGATGTCATCTGAGGTCACTTGGACTCGTGTAAGTGAAAGACATAGTACACACGCTAAACTGTGGAGACCAGCACTAAAATCAGTCCCTGCTTTTAGCCGCACGAGATGATTAAAAAAAAAAAGCTGAAAATCTCAAGCCAAGTAACTTCCCATTTGGTCAGAAAAAATTCCAAAGGTTAAGTGATATCAATAAATACAACAAGATGCAAACTCTTCAGTGTTTTAGGTTGGTGGTTTCTAGTTAAAGAGTATGCTTTGTTTTGTTTTAACTGATCTCGTATGTCTAGTGAGAATCCAAACATCGGTTGCACACTCAGAGAAATAAATGTTTGATGATTATGGCGTCTGTCACTAAGGTTTTTCGTAGATTCGCAGGTTCAGTGAGTTCAATTTCAGGGAAAAAAAGGAACCAAAAAAAAATAAACAACATCTTAGAAATGTACCTAGTTGGACAGTTGTAACTTACACTGATATGACTTGTATGTTTTAATCGTTTTCAGCTAAGTTCACGTTGCTTACCATAAACTCCAAATTGGAAGAATTTAACTACGTACAAACAGTCTTTAAAAATCGTGTACTGCGGGCAAACAAAACGAAAAGGTGTTTTCTGTCTTCCAAAGCATTCTCCCTTCCAGTGCAACGAAAGAGTATTTTTAGCTCAGTGCACTGCAACGTAGCTCCTTTAAACTGCGTATTTTTTCTGTTTGTCTGACTCAATGTTCGTCAGGTGAGTTTCACTGTGAGTGATTGTAATACTGAGTTGAGCACGCAGTGTTTGTATCCTACTCATCTACCACAACTGTCAAGTTCCAGTTGTGGGATGGGTGAGCGAGAGTTTAGTAATCTCGAACCCACGATTCGATAGAAACCAACACCGAACAGTCAGCATAATGCACGCGGGAACGTGAGTAATTCCCAGTTCCGAAGCACTTCAATAAGTGCCACTGTATACAAACAAGTATGATTAGACTAACACAAAAATCTTGTACTTCTTTAAAAAAAGCTTTGTTAACTTACTTGCGATAAATCATTTCAATCACTTTAATGATATTAACTCCTCCTTCCTAATACCGTGCAATTATTTTTAAGACCCTTACCACTGATTAGTGACAAAAACGAACTTTTAAAAACTACATTTGTTCAAAACTTCATCACTCCTACCCTCATAAAAAATATTATTTATCCTAACACTGTTATGTTATTTCAGACTGTTTTTAAATCTTTCGCGTTATGGTACCATCCGGGTCTCCACAAACCTTTAAACTTCTGAACATGACAACACTGCGATTTCTTACATTCTCACTGAACATCTCGTGCTTTTTCCAGAACTGTCCACCTTTACAGCATCATTTCTTTTAACGTTTAATGTAATACAGGTTACGTTTCCACGTTCAACATTAACATGAAATCATGTTTACAATATACATTACATACATGGATATCAATGTACCTCTTGTACACACACACCTATTTTAAGTAAAATCCATTCTTCTTTCTGTGTGTAAAGTTCATCAAGAATACAAAGAAGAGGCCGAAACTACGCATATCATTTAACAATGACTTAGTACTCTATAGGACCAAATGCCACCATACCCTGGACTAGTTTTATTATAGGAACCATTAAAATTGGCCTGGCATCCCTCCAGGCCCGAGTTAGGCAGGAGGATGGCAAAATGCGAATTTGTGATGAAAATTTTTGTGAAACATCCGTAACAGAGATTTGTACGTTTCACTTTTGCACCATGAAACGACTACGAGACGAAACGTGATGCACAAAGGTTCCAGTTTCACAGTGGAGCGTCAATGTGTCACTAGTTCTTCAAGACATACTAAAGTCTGCTAGTTATTTGCCCTTGCTCGGAGACAGTTATTGTTACAAATCAGGCCGCAAGATTTTCGGCTGTTGTATTATTCCCTTCGTTTCTATTAGGTTTGAAGTGAGATTTGATGTGATTTTCGAGTTCGGTGGAAGAAGCACAAATCTTGTTGCAGATGTTGCATGCCATCTTCCAACCCCAGGTGGGTGGTCTATCTCCTGCTGGTGGAGAATGCTGAATAGTTTGATGTCCAGGAGAAGAGAGGTCACGTGGTGCTTGTGGTGACTGAGACTTTTTCTTCTCTGATTCTTCTACCGTCTTCAGGCCATTAGTAGACGCAGGTGATGTTGTATTACTAGCTGGGGTGGAGTTAGTCATTGGTTGTTGAGGGATATTTCGAGCCAATCCTTGAGGAGAAAGCATATTCAGTGAAGAAGGTATGTTTCCATTTGTCATTCCTGCACTCTGGATGACCGATATTTCGTTCATCTTTGGTGTGGTCATGCCATTCATGTATGCTGGTGGAAGATATGGAAAATAGAGGTCTGGACGATGGGGATGAAAATCTCCTGGTTTAGGAGCTGGGGTCATCTGGAGTGCTGGCAGGTCTATTGACATTCGCCGACCTCTTCGGGAAGTGCTGTTGTTCCACATGTGTGTTCCCATGTGAACTTTAAGGTTACCTTTGGTGGTAAAAGCTCTCTCACACACATTGCATTTGAAAGGTTTGTCCCCCGTGTGTGTGCGCATATGAATTTGAATTGCGCTTGCACTTGAAAAAGGCTTTAGACATACATGGCATGTGTGTTTGGCCATTCCTGGTGATCGTTTGGGAAGAGGTTGAACAGCGGTATTGTTTTCTGACACTGGTCGTTTGTGTGAATGGCTAGATGTCTTGGGTTCAAAACTTGTAGTTGTAGTATTACTCACAGTTGTAGTATTAGTTGTATTACTATTGTTCAATGTCGTTGTTGTCAGGGTTGGAGAGGTAGTAAAAAGCTGTGATGGTAAATCGTTGATTTTATGTGTCAGCATATGTTGTTTCATGTTACCTTTAGTAGAGAAACGTCTGTCACAGAAGTCACACTTAAAAGGACGCTCTTTTGTGTGACTACGATAATGAATCGAAAGGGCACTCTGGCAAGCAAAAGTCTTAAAACAAATCTTACATGTTGTATTCATTCTTCCTAGATGAGGAGCAAAAGGCAGTCCACCAACAGATGAAGTAAAACTATGAGTGGCCATCTCAGATGGAGAAGGAGATGTACTACTCGACAACATTGAGGTTTTTGGCGTTAGATCTAGAGCTTCAGTTTCTTGATCCATAGTAGTGATGACGCTTGGTGGTACAGTTGTGGAAGATGATATTGGGGTGGATACTATAGAAGGAGATTCCAACTTCCTCACGGACCCAGGTGTTGAGCACTCATCCCCAGAATTGTCTGATGTAGTCTTGCTTGTTATTGAGTTTGGAGAGTAAGGTGGTACTAATACTTGAGGATTATTATTTGTTGAAGTTTCTAGAGATGTTTGAGATCTAGGAAGGTAAACTGGTGGATTTTCAAAACGAGGAAAGTAACCCAAAGGAATGCCCATTCCAAAAGGTGCAAAAAGAGGTTGAGATATTGATGTAGAAATACTCTTGGTATGATTCTCTAATGCTGCCAAAGAAGAACTGGTAAGTGAGATAGAGGAAGAAAGAGGTCGATCACTGATTAAAGGCAAAGACACTAATGAATGTGAAGAAGAGATTGAAGTAGTTGTGACTGTGCCTGTTGAGGTCACTGTGTATAAATCTGAAGTTACCTTGACATTTTCATCAATCACTGGCTGAGTTGGTAGAGTTTCTTCTTGAGAACACCCTTCATCTTCTAATAATTCTTCTTCCTGATCATCTGTAGGAGGACTGACAGCTTTTATAACACTATTCGTGTGCTTTGTTAAATCTTGAATAGAAGGTGAAATCACAGCAGCTCCTGGAGAGCTCGATGGAGTAGAAGGATGAGAATGAGGGAGAGAGATTGATGTTTGTACTGAGTGAGAAAAATTATTCTGGTTTGTGAAATTTAATGGTAATATGGGTCTTGGAAAAGGAGCAGGAAAAGAAGCTGGAGCTTTAATTTCATTTGCCATAATCTGTTCTGGACTCATATCAGTAGGCTCACCAGTGTGCATCCGAATGTGTTGCTGTAATACAAGAGAATTCGTAAATTGCTTGTGGCATACTGGACATTGATGAAGCACCCGTAATGGCGGCTTTACCCTATGAACGCCCATGTGAGTCTTCAAATTACCTTTTGTTGTGAATGCCCGACCACATATTTTGCATTTAAAGGGTCTTTCACCAGTATGAGTACGATAGTGCATCTGTAGAGCACTCCTACAACTTAGAACACGATGGCAAATGACACACTGGTTAGGGTCACTGAGCTTATGTTCAATATTGTCCACAAGCTGCTGCAGTTTGGATGTTTCTGATGGCTTTGTGATTTCCATGAGTGACTCCCAGTTACTGTCTGTACTTCCGGGTTTAGGAAGCAAATCTTGATAAAATACAGGATCATTAGTAATGTTAGAGTCATCTAAAGTTGTAGCAGTTGGAGTTAATGCATGTGTAGTAGAGGTAGTAGTTAATGAATGCAGGCTGAAAGGAGGTAATGCAGGAGAAAATGATGGATGAAATAAAGTAGGATATGATGCAGCCATAGTACTTAAAAAAGGAGGATAAGGAGGGATAATAGAAGGTGGAACTGAAGTACATCCTACATGAAAAGGTGGGGTTTTTAGTTCTTCATGATCTTTCATCTCTGCATCATTTTTTTCTTCTTCTCCGCCAATAGGACTCTGTGACGTTGATGGTTCAGGACTTAATATACGATTTTGTTCAATTTCCTCCTGGTCTTCTTCATTTTGTATTTCTTCCTCTTTTTCCAGTGGAATATCAAGCTCGGGCTCCTCTGGGCCTTCGCCTGTTCTGTTTGGAGGATTTGCAATTTTATGAAAAGATAAACTTTTTTCTTCATTTGAAAGCTCTTCCTCTTGTGAGGTAGTAGGTCTGTTTTCTAAATCATTGGAAGAGGGAACCTGTTGATGCTCCCCATTCACTTCTCGTTGAGATTGTGGCAATGATGCTATTTGTGGCACCAACAAAGGAGGTTGTGAGCTACAACTGTTAGACATTTCTTGTAATACAGGACTCATTCGTTGCTGGCCAGAGGGTGGCTCAATTGGTGGATAAAGTTTATCAAGGTGTTCAGGGAATGGATTACTGTCCATTTCAATGTGTGGATATTTCGACTTGTGTCTCTGAAAATGAACTTTCAAATTTCCTTTCGTTGAGAAACGATTCCCACAGATGTTACAACGAAATGGTCTTTCACCAGTGTGGGACCGAATGTGAATTTGCAAAGCACTATCACTTCCAAACACCTTACCACAAAATCGACATCGATGTCGAAAGAAAGAATCATCCTGTCCAGAAAGAGGTTTCCCATCAATGGCAGTCACATTAGACAGCTTTCCCTTGCGCATTTTACAAAGTTCGTCCTCATTACTATAGCTAATGACTCCATTCAATAGAAAAGATCCTCCTGACATTGTATTTTGAAGAGCCTGTTCTGTGTGCCTCTGAAGTAGTTCTAGTGTATTTGGTTCATGAGGAAGAGGTGGCGGAGGAACCAATGGTTGCTGCAAAGAATCTATTTCCTGACTGGTACCATCAGATGCTGGATTACCAATATTTAATTTGGAAGTCTCCAAAGAGCTAGGTGTTGTCCCATGCACAGAAGGAGATTGCTTAAATAACAAAGAAGTTGTTGTTGTTGTTGCAGTGGTCAGATTATTTGAAGTACTTTCACTACTTTGTGAAGAAGTCACTGCTAAAGGTCCAGTTAGTGGAGGTAGAGGAACTGTGACAGGTGGAAGATTTGCCGATCCCCCTGTTAGTTGAGATTGGAGTTGCTGGATGATTTGAAGCTGCATAAGTTGCTGCTGCTGTAAAGTATACAAAGCGGACTGCAGGGCAGCCAACTCAGTGGTTTGGTTCTTGCTGTTGGAAGAGCTGTGCTGTGCCACTGCAACTTTCGTGTTTTGCAGAGTTTCCAAGGTAACATTAGTATCAGGCAAGTACTGAGAATACAGTAACGACTGAGGTAGGCTAGTGATAAGAGACGTGGAATAACTGTTGAGATTCTTGTTCAAAGTGTCTTTGCAATTATTCGAGAGGTTAAGGACGCCATCGAGGTTTTTATCCAATTCTCCCGATAAGTCGTCTGCACACACACTAAACTGACCCTTACTCATTACCAAACTAGGAAGGTCATCGCTATCGGACGAGTCCACTTTTTCATAGCAAAGCTCATTTGCACTGCTCATAATGTTCTCTGACTGTTTCCGAATGAAACCCTGTTCTTCAACTAGCTCCACAGATGATGCACCACATCCGGAAACAGGACTATCCATTCCGTTTAAAGGAGGATATCAACTGTTTCATCGCCGATGACATACACTAATCGTTTTCTTGTGCAAGTTTTCTTATGGTTAAGAAAATCAGAAAGTTCAATAAACTCGCCTCTACATTTTCCACACACATGAGCATCACCTATTCCTCCATCAGTTGGTGTTTCTGAAAGAAACAAAACGTTCAAAAATTACTAAGATAACAATAAAAAATGTATCAAAATGAACACGAAATGGAGCAAACATTGGTCTAAAAATGATTTTACTAGACCCCAAAAATTATTTTGTTTTTATAAAACTGCTCAGAGTTGTCGCAGCGCACCATATAACGCTAAAATTCGCGTTTCTATACCCGCAGTAGGCAGAACACAGATAGCCCAATGTGTGACTTTGTTCTTAATAACAAACAACAAATAAAATAAAATGTTTGGTAAAGTTCCAGATTTCACTGACTTTGTTTAAGAAGCAAACCAGCATATTATATATGCTTGCTTTTTTACATAAAATTAATCATAAGATGAAGTTGAACCACAGATATATATATATATATATATCTTACAGATATATATACGGCCATATCTAATTTCATTTATTATAAGGAGTTTGTTGGGTTTTTTTGCACAGAGCTACATAATGGGCTATCTGTGCTCTATCATCCGCGAGAATCGAACTACGAATTACAGAGTTAAATCTTTGAGACCTTCCATAAACACTTGATAGATCTGTGGAATGAGTAAATACAACCGAAGTTTGAAACACTATCGAGTGTATTTCATTATGTACTACATTATGTACTAATATTCAGTTGACCTTTGTTTTCCATCACTAACAAGTGTATAGGAGATCCGAATAAATCATTTATTGGAATTTTTATTAAAACGGTAAACAAAACTTAATTTCTTCTTCAGGGTAGCAAATGAATACTATTTCTTCATTGAAATCCTAACATGAAAAATATTACTACTTCCCAACGCTCAGCAGAGATGGTTATGACGTGCTTAAGAAGATGGTGCAATTCTACACGTCACTCTTCTTACAGGAGGCTCTGAACTAGTTATTTCACAGTTCTTGTGCATGTGGCCCGACATGGCCTGGTGGTTATGGTGCTGATCGACGGTCCCACTCCCACCAAACATGCTCGCCCTTTCAGCCGTGGGGGGGAGGGGGGTTTATAAAGCGACGGTCAATCCCACTATTCGTTGGTGAAAGAGCAGCCAAGAGTTGGCGGTGGGTGGTGATGACTAGCTGCCTTTCCTGTAGTCTTTCACTGCTAAATTATGGACGGCTAGCACAGATAGCCCTCGTGTAACTTTGCGCGAGATTTACAACCAACCAAATAAAGTTATTTTCGTTGTTTATGTTTTGTGATTAGAGAAAAGCTACTCAAGTAAGCTATGCTTGAAGTTCACTAGGAAAGATGAACACGGATGGAGAACAGGGAGCCATTAGAAGAGAGGGTGCCAGTAATCCATCAGAAGATTGTGTATCGGTGATTCAGTCTGGAGGGCTGTCGGCAAGCAACTTTTTTTTTTTTATTGCTCGTATGTAGCGGTAGGCCCATTTTGAAACCTCATTGGCTAGCGGAACCAGGCTTCTAATGAAGTGAAACACGATCGCGTGACCGTCTACTGGTGGAAAACTAAAACACATCCCTCCATTGAGTACTTGCAATCTAAAAAGAATCATTTGAAAGCGAAGAAAAAAAAACGTTTTGCCTTTTTGTCTTCTAAGATGTCAACGCGTGAAGGGTCTCAAGTGTGTTACAGAGTTAGTCGTACATTGTGTTACGACTACATTTAGTCAAGTTATTGTTTTTTTTCATAAACGTATTTCCTGCCAAACTAAAAGATAATAATAAAAAAAACACTGGAAAATTTAAAAATCGAACACTTCTACGACTATGCTGTTAGTACCCCCTAGTGTTCACGGCTGTACTATCGTACTGTATCTGTAGTGTCTCCAGCTGTTTGGTCTTTTGCGTTTAGATGCTACTTCAGAAAAAAACAGTCACATCGAAATAAGTAAAAGTCACCACCACCAGATGGCAACAAAGGAATAAGAAAAAGAAACCTTTAAAATCGATAAAACACCCGAAGTTTGTTCCAAAAGAAGTAAACGTTACTACACTTGCGAGGAACGCGATCGCGGACAAACCTGAAAACATTGCACCGAGTTGCCTTCTTAAGTTCTGAGGTAAAGATTGTATAACCTTCTGAGCGAGGTCATTATGATGTCCATCTTTCTATCACCATCTATCTATAAAAGATTAAATTCATTATCGAAACGTTTTAGATTGTTGATCATAGTTATGCATAATTAGCCTTAATCATGTATTTTTTTACATTATCAGTTATTACAAAAGTCCATCAGAGACCCCCCTCTCCTCTCCTTGGTACCTCAGGGGCATGTATAAAGGATTATTCTAGTAAATTTAAGGGTTTGATTTGTTTGTTTGTTTGAGGCAAAGCACAAAGCTACATAATGGGCTATCTGTGCTCTGCCCACCATGGGTATCGAAACCAGGTTTCTAGCGTTGTAAGTCCGCAAACAGGGGGGGGGAGCTCAGGGTTTGAACCTTGCACTTGGCACGGCATTACTAGCCCATTGTGTAGATTTGTGCTTAAGAAGAAATAAACAGTCCGTCAGTATTGTATCTTTTGTGGGGGGGAGCACTACACAGTTTTCTTTGTCACTCGTCTTAATATATGCACGTAAACATACAAATTTCCATATAAATCTAGTATAGAGTAAATAACGTGTAAGTGTACAAATCAATAAACAACCCATTAGAATTAATAAAAGTTAATCACTTGCTGTAGGTGGGATGGTGGTTTAGAGCTAACATTGAGTTGACGGTACCATTTTTTTGAATTAATGTTGTTTTTTTGCTCTTTTAAATGAGCTAATGAGAAAACTAGTTTATATATCGAACCAGAAAAGTGTAATGCATAAAAAAAATAAAATAAATGCCATTACCTACAAGATAATATCAATATTTTATTCCTATCAAAAATTGGGAAAATTAACACACGCCATCTACCTCCAATATATAGCAATCAATCTTAATCACCTTTATTGCCATAATGATGACACGGACGTGTTATCGTTCATAATAGGCTTATATAAAATAAATATAATTGACGTAAGTTCTAAGTTTACAGGACATACTTACTTGGACAAGAAGAGCGAATCCTTGCCGATAACAGCAATAAGGATTTAATTCGGGCAACAAAAAATCAAAAGGCATAGTAAAACACAACCAGTGTCGTCTGTAGAAAAACGCACAGAAATGAATTATTGCATACCGAATTCATCAAAGAAATATCAAAACAAAACTGAGTTTGCTAATTTGAAGAATTCGAAATTTATTATTTTAACGGGTTTACTGCCGTTAATAGCAAAAGTTTTTCCAGTTTTGCTAGTATTAAACTTTTACCAGTTTTAACAGTGAGGGTCTGTCCAGTTTAACTAGCGTTAATAGCGAGGGTTTATCGAGTATTAACAGCGAAGGTCTGAGCAGTTTTAGGAGCAATAACAACGAGAGTTTGTCGTGTTTTAACAGCGCTGTTAAAACACGACAAACTCTCGCTGTTATTGCTCCTAAAACTGCTCAGACCTTCGCTGTTAATACTCGATAAACCCTCGCTGTTAACACTAGTAAAACGGGACAGACTCTCACTGTTAATGCTGATGAATCTCAATAAACCCTCGCTGTTAATGAGGGTTTATCGAGGTTTACCAACATTAACAGCGAAGGTTTGTCCAGTTTTACTAGTGTTAACAGCGAGGGTTTATCGAGGTTTACCAACATTAACAGCGATGGTTTGTCCAGTTTTACTAGCCATAACAGTGAGGGTTTATTGAGATTTAACAGCGAGAGTCTGTCCAGGTTTACAAGTGTTAACAGCGAGGGTTTATCGTATTTTACCAGAATTAACCACAAGGGTCTGCCCAGTTTTACTAACATTAACTATGAAGGGTCTGTCCAGGTTTACTAGCCTTAACAACAAATGTTTATCCCGCTTTTCTATTGTAACCAGAGAGCGCATCCACTGCCCCAAAGTCTGGAGCTCGTTTTTGGGGCAACTTTCCGCGAAGCATGCAAGAATCCTCGAGCTCACAGTCCGAGCACAAGGACACGGGATGGAGTTAAATAAATAAAATACATAAATTGTTTGTTTGTTTTGAATTTCGCGCAAAGCTACACGAGGGCTATCTGCGCTAGCCGTCCCTAATTTAGCAGTGTAAGACTAGAGGGAAGGCAGCTAGTCATCACCCACCACCGCCAACTCTTGGGCTACTCTTTTACCAATGAATATTGGGATTGACCGTCACTTTATAACGCCCCCACGGCTGAAAGTGCGAGAATGTTTGGTATGACGGAGATTCGAACCCGCGACCCTCAGGATTGCGAGTCGAGCGCCCTAACCACCTAGCCATGCCGGGCAAATATATAAATACAAATATTAAAGGGTTAAAAAAGAACAATATTTTCAAAGTTTTGCCATCTGAGCAACAACGACAAAATTAGGTTATGACAACCACCAATGGAGTACGTACGTATATAACCAGCTTTCCACAATAACCCTCAATGTTGTCATTATCCAAAAAACACTATCAAAATAATAGATCAACACCTGATTCTAAATCAATTAATCTTGGGAGCACGTGGTGGGCAGAGCACAGATAGCCCGTTGTGTAGCTCTACGCTTAACTACAAACAAACAAACCGTCGTAGTGATATTATCATTAGTGATATTACAGTCAGTTGGCTTACCCTAACATCCGTCAAGGAAGACCTGCGTTTATTTGTTAGATGGACTAAAAAAGGCGATTCTAGCGTTAACATTAATTCTCACTAGGCGGCGCTACATAGCTGTAAGTGCACAAAAAAAAACCACCAAACATATCAGGATTTATTCTGTCAATAGAAATGACCTTGGAGTGACTATAATGACCTTGGAGTGACTATAATGACCTTGGAGTGACTACAATGACCTTGGACTGACTACAATGACCTTGGAGTGACTACAATGACCTTGGACTGACTATGATGACCTTGGATTGACTACAATGACCTTGGAATGGTTATTTCTGAACGTCACATCTTGTCTGGTAAAGCTACCACTGTAA